TTGGATTGATTCCTTGGTTTTAGTCAAGGAAGTCTCCAAATTTATCTGATCCGAATCGTGCAAAGGTGTTTCAGCTGTCAGGAGTTGAGCGAACAAGATTTCATTCCGAAGTTCGGATAATCGCTCCATCAGCTGATGAAGGATAGAAGTAGCAGCCGATTCCGAGGGATTTTGAAATAAGAGTCCACCAACGGCTTGAAGAAGGCTGTCAAGCAAGTCTGATCCTACGTCGGGAAAATATTGATTAACAGCCTGGGCAATTATAGTTCGGACGTCCGTGAGAATTGGAACAATCGACAAGGGGGCTAAATCAGAGCATCCCTGAAATAGTGAATGTTTATTTCAAATTACATGAAGCATGAATACCGAGAATTAATTGTGCAAGGGGTATTTACCTCTGGATGAATCCTGGACGCTGAAGGTGCTAGGATTGCCATAAGTCTGGAAGCTTGGGCGACTGGTACCTCAATGGCTGATTCATCGGCTGCTTCAAACGGACGTTGAGGTTTGGATCTAGGTTCCTGAACGGTGATAATGTAGTGTATTTAATATCATGTAAACAATTAGCTTGTAACTTGGAAAAAATAGTTCAAGCGTCTACCATATTAACAGAGGTCTCTGAATCAGAGGAGGGAATTTCTTGTAACTCTTGTAACTCTTCCCGTCTGTCTGCCTCTGGAGGAGGGTTGGCTGCCTCCAAGTCGGCTGCCCCTAGGTCGGCTGCCCCCAAGTCGGCTGCCTCTGGGTCGGCTGCCTCCAAGTCTGCTACCCTTTGGTCGGGTGCGTCTAGGGCGGCTGCGCCAGAGGCGACTGCAGCAGAAGCGGATGCAGGTGTGGCCATTCGTGCCATGTTAGGGAGAGATGGGTCTCAAGCGACATAAGGCAACCTACCCATCTCCAAAGAAGTCGCCTCACTATTAGATGAAATCCCTATTGTTGTCAGTTTGGCTGGTGAAGGCGCCTGCATTAAGGTTTGTCGTTTGGTCGGGGGTTCAGGCGCGTGAAGTTGGTCGGTTGGTGACTCTGATGATTTGTTTGGGCTTGAAGTAGTTTGGACGGTCGCTCTGGATGAGGTCGAACATGGGTACAAGAAATATGATTAATAAAATGTTAAGGGCAAAAGTCGTATTAAATCAGGATTATTAAAGCATACCTGGATGGGGTTGGGTCTTTACGGGTGCCTGACCTAATGAGGGATTCCTCAAAGTCTGTTGATTGCCTCCAGAGGAGGGGATAGCTTGAGTCGGAGAGGCTCTTCTTTTCCTCTGCGGAGCACCCGATCCAGTGCCTTGAGCGACTAATTTCCTTCGGGTATTGGTCAATGGGGTCGCCCATAATACCAACACAGGCTGGGGCAAGAGAATACCCAGTAGGCGATCCTTGTCAGGAGCAATTAAGGCCCAGGTAACCGATCACCATTCGCGGAAGGATTCAATTGAAGATGGAGAAGTTCTGATAGGAATGTAGGAGTTGGAAGTTATGTAATTGGTATGTTGAGATACATAAAGGGCGATCAATTCAGGAATGGCTCTTCCATATGGACTTTGAATTATTAAATGTGGACAGACAATGGGGCCAGGTAAGCGTTGTTGACATCCGAATTGGCGTGCCAAAAACTGGGGCTGATAGGTGAAGGTATAAAAGGCTTTGAGGCCTTTCTTATCAATTTTCTTACTAATAAATAAAGACCTCGGTTTAAGAGCAGCATCCCAGGAGAAAGAGTAAGTTGGATGAGGAAGTGGGTCAGGTTCGGACAGAGGTGAAGATACAGGGAATGGCCAAAAAAGGAAGGACGCGTAGCCGACGTACTTTCGGTACATGTAAAATCGGGAATTACTACGATCGTCAGCTAGAATAGCAGTGATGATAGGGTCGGACGCTTGAAGGTTATTACGACCTAAGCAGAGTCGGTTGAGGGCTATGCCCAAAGATTTATCAGGTGTTGAAGCAACAGGGGGTTGACCAAGTTGGAACGCGTCGGAGAAATATAGACGGGACCATAGTTCTAAGAACCAAAAAGGGCCCGAGTGGCGGTATCTAGTTTTGTACCATCCTTGTCTGTAAGACGGGTGCTAACCCTGGATAACCCTTCAAACAGATTGGCAAGGAAAAGAGTACCCAAAGAAAAGAAACGGCAAGAGGCTATATGTATGGCCAAATCAAGATGAGAGGGAATGACGCATTTCGAGGGGGAAACAATGACATACCTACAGAGCCAAAAGAGCAGGAAAGCAGTATGCTCACGGTCGGTCACAAGGGTATCGTCTGCTCCTCGTTGATCGTTTAAAAATTTGGTCCAACCCCATTCCTTAACACCAGCCAAAGACTAGCCCGAATGGTCTGCATTGGTCTCTTGTCCATCTAGGGCACCCATTACAGGGTCTTCTCCCACGATTGGCAGATGAGCGATCATGGCCACATCCATGAGTGTGGGGCCAATGGGGGCTGTAGGAAGAAAGAAGGCACATATCTCAGGATGCCAGAAAGCCGACATTGCTAAAAGGACCTTCTCATGTAAATGACATGTGAGAGTAGACAGGAGTATGACCTGGTCGATTTGTTGGTTTTTCCATTGATCTTGAAAATGTTCTGCTACCCATTTGTACCAGGTGCGGTAGGGATCTTTGGGATCCGTCAGATGAGTTTTGATGTTATCATGGAGACGGTCTGCGTTGTAGTTGGATTATTGACAGCTAGAAGGTTTCTTGCTTCCAAGACTTCTCTCATTCAATTGGAGTCTTCAGGAGCAGTGTAGTATGGACGGATGGTTGGAGTGAGCATTTTCGTCGCCACGAAAGTCGTTTCAGGGATTGATCCGTTGAAGGGAAGTGCATGAATGTATTGATTTGCCATGATCTGGAGTTGTAGAGATTGAGAATGACAAAGGCCAGTAGTGAAGAATGAAGAGTTTTGTGGCACACAATGTGTTGCAGTAACTGGTTGCAGTTGCAGAGACAATTCTTCAGAAGGATTGTGGTTTACGAACTTCCAAAACGACGATTGAAGAATGACGTTTGAAAGTCCGATGGCGGCGGGCAAGTTTTTACGTATGAAATTTATAATTAGGTTAAAAAGCCCAAGTTGGAAGAAGATGTGGGCCTGTGATCAGGTCTTTTAGACTCTTTAAAGGGTATTTCGAGATAATCGGGTAAACTGAACGTTTTAGGTCGGAAAGTCTGCAGGCCGAGAGGTCCGCAGGTCAGAAGGTCCTTAGGTTGGAAAGTCCGCAGGTCGGGAAGTCCGTAGCTCGGAAAGTCCGCAAGTCGGAAAGTCAGCAGGTCGGAAAAGTCCGCAGGTCGGGAAGTCCGCAGGTCGAAAGGTCCATGAGTTGGGTAGTCTACAAGTTGGACGGTCTGCGGGTCGGTTGGTCAGCAGGTCGGATGGTCAGCAAATCGGGAGGTTTGTGGCTGGACCAACAAGTCGGGAGGTCTGCGGTTGGACCAACAAGTCGAGAGGTCTGCGATCGGACCAACAAGTCGGTTGATACACAGTTGGATGAGCGAATTATAGGTTGTTGTGGAGGTCGGATGCTGCGGAGAGCAAATGAGAGTAAGAGCTTGGTCGGCTGAAAACACGTGTCAGCAAAGGAGGAGGTAGCAAACGGTTGAGAGAAGGTGTTGTAATCGTTCGGGCGACGGTTTCAAGTACCGTTTCTGAAGAATATTTAAGGATTATGATTGACAACTGAAAAACAATCTTCAATCATCTTCAAACGACAGAAAAGTCAGTGATTCAGGGATCATCATTTAAATTTTCAGTCTTTTATTTTCCAATTTATTTTCTTATGTACCGTACAGTGTTTAGAGATTCCTAATCTCAGGCACTAATTAATCAAGTTCGAAGATAATCTCCTATTTTCGAATTTTACTTTTTATTTGTTGAAAAAATACATTAACAATTGTAGTATCATATGTCAAGAGGGGGTGATTGTTAAGAAATTCTATTCCACTTTTGGTATACAATACAAAATGTAGATCACTTGTAAGAGCTTTAGAGCTAGCGATCCAAAAAGAAAAATGTGTTGTCATTATCCCGAATAGTTAGAGATGATCTTTTTGCACAATATATGCCCCCGACTTCTCAAAAAAAATAAAAAAACATAAAAACTTAAAAATGATCTACATGGTCAAATATTTATTGATATTTTGGGAAGACAATGGAAGTAAGTGGTCATGAGTTCAAAATCTTCGACACCACTTAGTCTTGTCTGTCATATAATTCGCTTAGTGTAGCTTACTTTGTTGTTCTAGTTTGTATTACATTTGACCGGAAGTTTACCTGGAGTGCGGTTGAATAATAACGGTTGCAAATTCTCACGTTATAAAAATAAAAAAATTCATTAATGAACTTCGAGGATAAAGCCAAACATAGACAAAAAAATTTCAGCCTAGGCGTAAAGGTTGGTTTGCATTGAACATTTGAGAGCTAATTATAATGTGAGAAAGTATTGTGTGTTCTCTCAAATGATTTATTTCATCTCTCCATACGTTCGAGATATTCTGAAACTTCCAACGTAATCGAAGGCTGATCTAATTAAGAAGACAAAGGATGTTCAACCGAAGAAAAAATAATCAACTTATGAGAACATTTACTCTCAACTAGTCAAGTGCTCTACTAGTGTCATTGTATGTCATTTCTTTTGTCTTGCACTAATTTTGCATATCTTCCATTGACACATTGAATATAACTACAGAACAAATTAAATACGTGTTAAAATAATATTCTTACTTATTATAGTTTTTCATAAGTTCCGCTCACAACAAACTTGTCGGGGTAGACTTTCTTATTGTGAGTGATTTCCCAAACATGCACGATTCGATTTACATCCATCACAAACATGTATTATACTTTACCGTTTTCCATAAGCGAACACCGAAGTATAAAAAGTAAGAAAATAGAAAATACACAAGATATAAGTTATGTAAAATTCCCTAAAAGGATAAAGTTTTAAAAGTACAAGAGAGTTAACTTTGGATATATTATGAGGGCCGGTGGTTGATTTAAGTTGAGTAGCTGCAACTCTCAATGGCTTCTTCTAATGACAAAAAAACTGCATCCACACCGATCTTGTCGATAAATTTTGTGACCATCAACTTCTCTGTCACCTCAATCCTCGGATTAATCAATAACATCTACAATTAAGTTCATATACATTACAATACAATACAATACAATACATTAGTTGTTGATATAATTTTTAGTCGAAGATCAATAATAATTCAACGAGTTTATATATATATATATATATATATATGTACCTTGATTCCTTCATTCTCCAAACGCCTATGAACTTCGAATAATGATTCCAGTCCTGTGCTGTCGATGGCTGTCACGCCTGCATGTGAATCAGGCTACGGTTGCTAAATTCTAGTTTCGAGGTTAACATTTAGCAAGGGAGGATTGTAACACGATTAGCTAGTAAGAATGATCAATTATAAATGTGATTTCCTATATAAAATTAAATACTCTCACTGTCATTCAAATCTATTCTCACTTTTTTTTTTAATTTTTTTTTATTGTCATTCAGATTTATTGTGTTTTCCTTTTAGTAAAAAATACCACTTTTTCTATTTTGTCTTTACCAAAAAAAGTAAAGTTTTTATTTTTACCTATTTTTTTTAAAATTCGTGCACGATCAAATGAGCACACAATTGGATAATGAAGAGAGTATAATGCAACAAACACTTCAATATAATCATTAAAATGGAAATCTCTTAATTACAATCAAAGTAACAACAAAATATAAAACAAAATAAAAAATATCAAAGAGAAATACCATGTGTCAACTCTTTAAAATATATACGTTTTAACGCACTTTCGGGTAGCGGCTACGGGTTCCCACGTAATCATAAAAAATATATACGTTTTAAGATTGAATGTAATACCATGTGTAAACTTTATTTCGTAATATCATTATATTATTCATAATTATGCAAGAGCTGCTACCATTTTATAGAAAATACACATGATGAATTGTATTATGTAATATTCTGAAAATATTTTATGTAAAGTCGTATTAGAACATAGATTGTGTTCTAGTCAAGAAGCAATTCAAAGGAAAATAAATGTAGTACCTCCCAAATCAAGCAAAACGTATTTAACTTTATCTTTACAAGGATTTTTCAATCCTTGCTCTTCTCGTACCCATCTTAGGATCCTATTCATCATCCAAATTATATAAAATTTCAATAATATATCAGCAAAAAAACACACCATGTAAGATTAAATAAACTTGCATGAATTATATAGATATATATATATAGGTTGAACAATTTTCTTCTAAGGAGTGGAAACAGGTGTGTTTAGTAGATGATTTTCTTTTTTGCGATCTAATATTTGGTGAGAGTCAATAGTATATTCGTATGTGTTAAATAATAAGAATAGTAAATAATAATTGTCAATGGACAATTAATACTTTCTTGCAAAATGAGATGGCTATAATTAAAAAATATCTAGAATTTCTTCATTGGGTTAGCATTTCATCTAAATTAGAGAATTTTGGTTTTTGTAGCCATACTACATCCTATTTATCTCCAAACCCATAACTATATAACACTACATTATACCAAATCTTTTACTACTCTTTTTTCTTTGGGATATCTCAAAAGTTCGACACTTTTATCTACACACAATTTTACATATATATATATATATATAATTATAAATTATTCCAACCAAATCATGCAAAGACAAAATTGATAAAAACAATGTTCAATGCTACATTAAAAAACAAATAAGATGAATGTAATCTAACATGTTTATTTTTCAAAATAACTACTACCTCGTCCGGCTCTAAGGGTACCATTTACTTTTTGTGTTTTAATATTTGAATATTAATTATTATATCAAAAGTAGTACAAATTAAGAAAAACTTGCAAAAATACTTCAATTAGTGTCTTATAATACTAATAGAAGGACATTTGTATAAAAAATTATACAAATATAAGAATATTTCTAATGTTAAGTAAAATGACGTAAAAGGTAAATGTGACCCTTGGAGGCGGACGGAGGGAATATAATTTTCCTGTATAGTTTCATGTTTTGTAAAGGGCGTGGCATACCTTTCTTTAACATAGTTTGCATTTGCGAAATAAATGGGAGAACCAAGCTGTAGTACTAGAAACCCTGCTTCATCTCCTCCTGCCGCCTCCGGGTACTGTTCCACATCACGATATAAGATGACATTGCCTGGTAGTTTTCCCAGCTTGCAACTTGATGGCCTCGCAATGTACAACATTCCTCGAGTTAAGGCAAGTCCTACCTGGTAAGCAATCATCGACCTTCCATGATCTGGTCAATATATGAGTTTGTATGTATGCAAAATTGCAAATTTGTTTTTTTATTTATATACTCCATTCGTCCGGCTCTAAGGGTCTCATTTACTTTTTGCATCATTGTACCTAACATTAAAATATCCTTATATTTGTATAATTTTTTGCACTAATTTCATTACAATAGTATTATAAGACACTAATAGAAGTATTTTTGTCATTTTCTCTTATTTGTACTATGTTTTCATATAATGATTAATATTCAAAGATCAACAAATGAGACCCTTCGAGTCGGACGAAAGAAATATAATCAATTATCCTTTTTTTTTTTTTTCAAATACATTTCCTTGATCCCATATCTTACATATATATATATATAATTCATTTCATTTTTATTTTGTCTAAATTCGCATACATGTAAAGAAACAAAAAAGTGTAAGTTCAAGACCAAAATTTAGCCAATAGAATCCAAGAGTGATAATTGATTATAAATAGAAGACTAAACTTACAATTTTCCCATGTATTAGTGCAATATTATCACAGATGTATGGATACAAAGCAACTAATCATAGATAATTAATGATATCGAAATAACATAATCGTTGATCGCATTGTTCTCTTAAGTTCAATTTTATTCAATTTGATTAAAACAATACTTTTTTCTTTTCTTTTTTTTCTTTTCTGTTTTTTTTTTGGTTATGCTCTAGTTAGTTCGGAAATATTGTTTCTAGCGCACATCTCTTCTTCGAAAAATATTAATGCAAGGAATGAGACTTAGCAACAAACTAATGAATCAAGATATTCGCGTATAAACGATCAATTACGCCTGCCATAAATATATATATATATATATCATTAAAGTCCATAAATGTTACCGAGATGACGAGTCCCACATCCATGCTTATGAATGAAACTCCGAGGAAGGCGGACATGCAAATAAGAAAGTCAAATTTATCGGTCTTAAAGAGGCGATAGGCCTCCTTGTACTTGATGAGGCCAAGCATCGCGGAAACGATGATGGCTGAAAGCGCAACTTGAGGGGTGTAGCTGAACAAGGGGGCCAAAAACAGGAGGACCATCAACATACATATCGCCTGCACCACATTTGTCATAGGTGTCCTACATCCAGCATTCACATTCACTGCTGTTTTCGAGAATGGACCTGCAAATGCAAATTAATCATCTTGATATATTAGAATAGGCGGTGGTTATAGTGCAGAATTTAAATTTCAGCATTGTGCTGAACAACACATCGTGTACTATTAGACAACACATAATATTACTACAAACAACACATTATATATGTTAATATAATACAAATACAGCAAATGAACAAAACACACATGTTATAGTTTCAATAACACACAATATTACTACAAACATCACACAGTATTACTACAGACAACACATTGTATATGTTAATATAATATAAATACAACACATGAACTAACAACACATGCTATAGTCTCATACAACACATGAACTAACAACACATGCTATACACTCATACAGCACATGAACTAACAACACATGCTATAGTCTCATACAACACACACAGCGGTTGATTTTAGTACATGATATACTTGTATACAACACACTTGTTATTATTAAAAAACAGCACGTATATTTATTATACACAATATGGTGTTGTGTGTAATACTAATGTGTGTTGTTTGTATATATAACGCGTGCTAATGTGAAAAATCAACACTATGCTAATTTTTTCAAATCAGTATTGTAACCATCCCTGTTAGAATATATATATAATTTCAATTAGAATACATCTTATCTTGATGGTGCAGGCTGTAGATACGTACCGGTGGTCAAGTAGCACGATGTCATAGAGCCTATAATGTTCATAAGACCATAAGCGACCATCTCTTTGTTGCCGTCAATTTGTTCGTTGCTAGATAGCGCAAAGCTTCGTCCCACGGCTATTCCTTCCTGCATTCATATACATATACATATACATACTAAATTCTTCATGTTGTTGTAATTAATGACTTAAGGAAATTACATCGTATATATATATAAACCCGATGGGATTCTCTATCCCAAAAATAAACTCTATCCCCCTATCCCACATACATAATTGTATATATATACTCACACACGTGTGTATGTACATATGTATCTCTTCGTCCCATATCTATGTATCCATTTGCTTTTTGCACGGAGTTTTAGAAATATTAGTATTATATAGGGATAAAGTATAAATAAAGGTAAAAGGACTAAATTAACCCTATTAGTTGTATGATATAAAGGTAATGACATTTGTGTAATATATTGTAAATTGGAAAGGTATTTGTAATGTTAGATAAATAGTACAATTACTAAAAAAAGAAATAGATACTTTGTTATGGAACAGGCCAAAATAAAAAAATGAATAAATTGTTAAGGACCGGAGGGAGTATATAATACATACACACAAGTGTGTATATGCACAAAATGTGTGGGGATACGAGAATATGGTATGTTAATAGAATAGAAGATCCGATCTCATATTTATATATATATATATATATATATATATATATAAGGTAACTACTTACAACGAGAGCAATCAATCCTGTGATTACCCCTGCCTTCACTGAAGTTAGTAGGTACTTGGAGTTGAAATTGTAACGTCCAATCGAGGACTCATTTATCCCTTTCTTCAGATGCCCTACCTATATATATACACACACATATACATGCAATCAAATCAACAACATTCATGGGAGGTCTTTTTTTTTTTTTGAAGCATGATAGTAACATTGTTGTCTAAATTATAAACAAGCAATGAATATCAAATACTGAATAACATTAGAAAAATAGTTATCAATTTCTAACAACATTAAACTGTGGCTGACCTTAGAGCAATTCCAAGCCAAAATTGGATTGTATAATTGTATTGTTTAGAAAGTGATAAAATTTTATTTTTTTAAGAATAATGTATAATTTTATTTTTTAAAAAGTGATATACAATTTTATCCTTCGAAAAGTGATATATAATATGTAATTATGTATATATGGATTATATTGTAAAAAGAAATTATAGTTGGGGTGTAATTAATAAATATAAAAAATTATATAAAATAATATAAAAGAAGAATATATATGGAATATACTTTTTAGGGTGAAAATTAAAATTTATGATTGGAGTAAAATTACTGTGGATCAACTGCATAACATATAGCTGCATAACCGATAAATGTAAAAGTATACTTACAAAAAATATTAAATAAACAAAATAAAATTAGGTACATTCAACATGCATATGGAAATTTACAAGCTAATCCCATGCCCATACATAAAATTTTATTCTAAACCAAAGAGTAAGTATGAGATTATAGATAGTTCCATAAGTAAAAATAATTGGATGATTACTAATTTGATATAAATAATTAAATTTAATTTTTTTTTACTTACTTACAATGGGAAAGCCATGTTTCTCAGCTTGGGCAAAGTATGAGAAAATGCAACCGGAGACGACGACCAACATCGGCCCAATGGCCGACACCCAAAAAAGCATCGGCCTCTTCTTCTTCTGCAATCACAAAATTGAAAAATGCTTCTATATATATATATATATATATCGATCGAAATTAATTAAGTAAAGAAGAAGTAGAATTAATCGATTACGAAATACTTACTACAAACCGCGTGGTCTGAAGGACGACAAGAAATATAAGACCGGCAACAAAGCACTTCCAGTTCCACTGTCACGAAATTAAATACTAATAATTAAGATATATAGATAGATAAACAGCAGTTATGCAAAAGTAGCCAGCCAGGCCAGGCCAGCAATTGATACGTACTTCTTGCCTATTTTTGAAAATGGCCTTTAAAACTTCGACTACAGAGGTTTTTGTAGTAAAATGCTTCAAGCCAAGAATCCCCTTCATTTGCTGCAAGGAGATAATGACAGCAGTGCCTCCCATGAACCCCGTTATCGTCGAATGAGACAGAAAATCCACCAATATTCCAAGTCTGCCACGAGATTATTAAAATTATATTCTCTCTGTCTCATAAATATAATCTTAATTGGATTGTGCACGAGATTTAAAAAATATTAATATTATATTGGCAGTGGGTAAAAAGTATTGAATTCCCCTTGTGAGTGTATTAGTGTAAAAAATAGTGGCAATTGTCTAATAAAAATGAAAAAGTAGGAATAGTTTTATGATTCAATGATTATTTATGAAAATAAGACTATTGTTTTTTTACAGACAAAAATGATAAACAAGACTATTATATTGGAACGGATGGAGTAATTATTTATTTATTTTTTTACTTTGCTAAACAATGAGATAAATTTAAATGACAAATTTTTAAAAAATATTGACAATAAATTTGAGGACGAAAGAAGTATTAAGTATAAGAAAAAGAAAGTAAACAATTTAAAATAAAGTTGATGGATAATTTCCCCCAAAGATGATACCATTCCTTTTACATTTTTGCTAAGTTTATCAATTTTAAATATACTTAACAAATATAAATTAATTTAATTAAATTTCTAACATTTTATACGTAGAACTCACTCAAAACTCTTTTATTTATATCTCTCTTCAATTAACAAATACTTTTATCTACCTTTAAAAATCCTCATTTTTTATAAAACTAATTTATGGTAATGATAAATAAATAAATATATTTTTTTATTAATTTGTATTATATAAAATTTTATTGTCTATAAAATAATATCATATTGCATATATTTTATTGAGATATAACCCTAAAAATATTTAAAATACCAACAATACTATGCATGTAAAAAAATAATAAAATATTATAATAACTTATTATTAATAACTTAATAATCTATACTATCCGTGTCTCTAACAAAATGACTAATCTTTCGTGGGACGGAGGGAATAATACATTTTAATAAAAATCACAAGCAAACACCAATTTTATTCTATGATCTCCAACATGCCAATTTCATTTGATTTTTGTTGTATTTCACCTATTGTAATACATTGGAATCTTATTTAAATTTATGACCAAATATATTATTATTGCACAACCAACAAAATAGAATTATAATATATGTTTGTACATTAGGGTGTCTTTGTTTGGGCTTTGGATTTTGAATTGGGATTTGAATAGGAAAAAGTTTGAATTTGAATAGTTGTACGATATGATATAAATAGGTATTGATACGATGTTTTGAATACTATAATATAAAAAATGAAAAATAAGTGTTTGATTTGATATTTTTGGGGGAAAAAAATTGGGATGAATAGTATATTAAAAATCCAATCCCTCGAACAAACAAACCGACAAAAACAAAAAAAAATTGTAAACTATATAATAAATCTATTTGACACTATAATATAGTGCTCATTTCATTTGTATTGCAATGACAAGGAAATGAGCACATTTCTTATCTGATAGAGAGAATATGAGTTTGTTCGTCTTGTATTTTGGTTTGAATGAATTTTATTTATTTATTTTTTTTGTAAAATATAAAAAATTATGTAAATAATATACAAATAATAAAAGTGTATAATATATTAATTTTTTTAAAAATATATATATCTATACCATTTTCACAATATATAATTATATTTGCATATAATTAATTACATATATTCCATTTTTTTATATTAAAGAAAATAGTTAAATAAAAATTTATAATCTGCATATATATTAATATAATTAAATATTTATTTTATATATATTTATATATAAATATTTTAAAATTTTTAATTTTATTTGTAATTTTAACATTAAATACTAATCCAATGCAAGATGTGACTTATAAAAGTTATACTTCTCTATTTTGTGGAAGTGTATAAAAATACAATCTTTCTTTAAATTCATACTCTCATTCTTTTTTCTTTTTTCTTTTCTTAATCTTTTTATGCACTCCACATATTAAAAAAGTTAGATTAATGAACTTATAAAAGTGTACTCATTCCGGTTTTGAACAATTAACTCATTTTATTACTATACGCTATTTAAAATAAGGGTGTTTAATTAGGTAATAATGAAAAAATTATAATACTTCATTTTATTATCTTTTATATTATTAATAATATTGGTAATTTTAAAATAAATTTAATACATATGATTAAAAAAATTAAAATATATATTTAAATATTTTAGAAAATATCGCAATAAAAAATATATACAATATGAATATCATTTGTAAAACATAAAATTTTATAATTAATATAAAATAATTTTATAAAAAGAAGTAAAATTTTAAATTTAGATAAAAATAGTGTCTCCGTCCAACTCTAGGGTCCATTTACCTTTCTAATTAATATTAAAAATATCATTAATATTTGTATAGTATTTTGCACAAATATCATTATAAAGATCAACATAATAAAAAAATTAAAAATAAAAGAGTTTTTTTTTTTTTTTTTTTATAATTATTTTTATTATTTTAAAAATTCCTTTAAAAACTTGAAAACCCGGAAATCTTATCTAAACCAAACAAAACATAAGAGCTTATGGAATAATAGTAATAATAATAATAATAATAATAATAATAATAATGAAGTTAACAAACTAACCTGAGAATTCCGAGAAGAAACTGCGTGAAACCTGCAAAAAGCGTTGCGGTGAAGACCAAATTGAGGAACAAATCCTTCTGGTGAACCGGAGATGCTACTTCTTCCACGGTGGCCGCAAGCAGCAACGAACACGCCGCCACCGTCCCCACTGCCAAATGCTTCGACGATCCAAACACCGCGTATATCATCGGCGGAACAAAACTCGAATCTACAATATATATATATATATATGGGGACGGTTAGACTGCTGAATTGCAAAAATCAGCACCGTAGTTTTTCAAATCAGTATCCATAATATATAGAAATATAATAAAAACATGTGAGGTAGGTTCATAATTATAAGTATTATAAATGTGTTGTAAGACTATAACATGTACTATTAGTTTATGCGCTGTATAAGACTATAAAATGTATTGTTAGTTTATGTGTTGTATGTGTGTAGTGTGTTGTATAATAGTAGTACGTGGTATGCTGAAATCAAATATTTTTTATGTTATATAAGATTATAGTATGTGTTGTGAATTTATGTGTTGTATTTGTATTATATGATTAAAGGTCAAGACCGTAGCCCCCGCTTTATATATATATAACAAACTTACATTATAACAAACTTACATTAGGACGATAATTACAAATTAAGGGTATGTTTGTTCGAAAGATTTGTGTAGAAGTATACTATTCATACAAAAAAAAAAATTCCCCAAAATATGAAATCAAACATTTTTTTAATTTTTTATATTATATTAAAAATTAATTTTACATTCAAAACATCGCATCAATACATATCTATATCACATCGTACAACTATTCAAATCTCAATCCAAAATTCAAAACCCCAAACAAATCCGCCTTAAAACAAATCAGCAATGAAAGAGAGAGAGAGATTGGTTACGTACAGAGGCCAACGACGGGCGGAATTTGAGCCAACTCAGCATAGCTGATGCCCTGAGGAATTGCGAGGCTGGCGATAGTGACCCCGGCCAGCAGATCGCAAGTGAAAACCCTAAAAGTGTAGTCCGGAAGCCATCGGCAGATTGGGACGAAATAGCGCACCACTTCCGCCGCTCGACGCCGTCTGCTCGTTTCGTACTTGAGCGCACAGAACGGATCGTCTGGGAAGAACGTTTCCAGCGAACAATATTTCAACACGCTTCCGAAGCTCCTCGGCGCCCCCAAATTCACTGACCTCCGATGATGACGATTACGATCGCCGTCGTCGTCTCTGTCACTGTGATCAGATGACGTCATGGCGATACCCGATAATATGTAGATCCAAATGGAATGGAATAGATTTGATTGGATTGAATTGAGGAAGGATATCTATCTGATTGTGATTAATTATGATTTATGACCAAGTGTGAACAGCGTACATTGCTGCAGCAGCTTGGGATCCATCTGTTTGTGGTTTTACTTTAGGGTTCCAAATCTATATATGTTATCAATACATGCACTGCACCCTTCATTTCTCATTTGTTTTTATTTTTTTTATTCTGATTATTCTTTTTTTAAGTAAATAAATAAATTAATAAATAAAATAAATCATCCGATGTTCTTATTCCCATTTACTGTTTCCTAGCTGGGATAACTATATAACAAAAATTTCGAAGTAAAGGGTTTGTTTGCATTTTTAATTTACACAATTCTCTATAAATATTAATTATAAAAAGATATAAATATATAATATATTAACACAACATATGTCATTATATCAGTACTATTTTTGTCATTTTTTCTTAAATTGTATTATATTTAAATATAAATCAATATTTAAATATCAACAGGCAAAAATTAAATATAGTCTTTAGAACTAGACAGAGAGGCCGTATAATTTATCAATTCATAAAAAGTCAATTATTTAATACAAAATATTATATTTAAATATAAATTAATTTTTAGTTTGAGAGTTATTTTATAAGATATCTTATATGTTTTCAAATATGGATGGGATTGCATGTTGAACATTAAGCATCAGTTAATGTTCATTGTATATTAGCCATTGGATTAAAAATTTTAATCTAATGGCTAGTATTAGATTAAGGGTGTAATTATAATTTTAATATCCCTAATTTATGTAATTACCTCATACCTCAATCCTCTTAATTCTTCACGCACCTCATTATCCGCCGTTCTTCACAAAAACCTCACTCTCCTTCATTCTTTAAGCAGCAATTGGTGAGGGAACAAACGTTATCCTTCATTCTTCACTCTCCTTTCACTCTTCAATGGTTGATATCAACGAAGGTGAGCAAAATCAATTATTCATTATTCCACCCCCAATCAATCGCTCAGCAAGCAATGGAGACATCGAATAATTTGCAATTTCGGATGATCCAGCGCCTTTGCCAATACCAGACGCGGTGGAACGGGAAATCGCTTAATCGCGTAAGTTACCCATCGACAATTGACTTGAAATCGTGAACATCGTACCTTATGTGATCAATTTCATTGAATTTACTAGATTCTGTTTAGCGGATTGGAATTTCGTAAATATATATTAGCATTCGCAATTCAATCAAACCATTCAAATTACTGCTAAAAATAAAATGCAGCATACCGTTCAAGTAACACCAGTATTTCCCTATGAAGAGAACAACATCTCATTTTAATTACCAGCATGATACATGATTGTATTTGACACAAATATCAGCATCTTGTCATTTATCTGAAAGCATATTGAAATATGGTAGTCAGCATTTTGATTAACATAATCTAGCATTCCATATGTGCAGAGTTCATAGATTGACATGCAATGGAGTTACAAAATCGGATGATGCATATAATTTCTATTGTGAGTATGCATACAATAGGAGTTTTTCAGATGTATAAAAATGCAGAAAAAGTTCGAAAAAGACCCGCACCAGATACAATACATGGAATATTGTTGCAAGAAAGCAGGGTTCAAAGAGAGTAGCAATGTGAAACCAAATAATCTTGAGATTCATCCAAAACAGTGCAGCGAGTTAGGAAGGATCAGGACCATGCATCGTAGTCATGAAACGAGAACGACTATAATTCAAAGATACGACTTCAGTTTGACAAGGAGAATGCAAAGTACAAAGTGACATACTTTGAAGACAACCACAATCATGATCAACATCCTACAAAACACAAGCACATGCTTGTATCCAATCGTAGGATTGACGAATTACATTTAATCATTGCGAATACAAATCAGGAAGCTGGACTACCAATCAGATCATTGTATGATTTAATGACAATAGTTGCTGGAGGAAAGGAAAATGTGAGATTTCTAAAGTTGGACATGAAGAAAAAAAGGAAAGAAATTTTCAAGGAGGACGAAGCAAATGCATTACTGCAATAATTTGGCCAAAGGTTAGTGGATAGTCCTTTTTTTTTTATGAAATTGAAGTCGATTATGAAGATAAGATTGCTAATATATTTTGGTCAAATGCTAAAATGGGGGAAGACTACGCATTATTTGGGGATTTTATTACATTTGATACCACATACCAAATAAATAAGAACTATAGACCACTAGATAAACATACAACATTTTTTTATGTGCATAGTCAGCATTTCATCTTCAATTAATCAGCATTGTAAATACTATATGTCAGTATCTTTATACACTATATACAACGTCTCATATGTATCTGATCCTAACAATATTGCACCATCAGGTGTTTTCGTAGGGTTTAATAACCACCGTCAAACATCTATATTTGGGGCAGCGTTGTTGTATGAGGAAACACAAGATTCATGCAAGTGGGTTTTCAATATATTCTTGAAGTGCATAGGTGGACAAGCACCGAAAACTATTTTTACGGATCAAGATTTGACTATGGCTCAAGCACTAAGAGAGACAATACCAACAACATACCATGCTCTGTGGACATGGCATATTGTACAAAATGCCAAAAAAAAAAATCTCAGTGCTCTTTACACTACAAGATATGTTGAAATTATGACAGCTAAATGATGAATTTGAGAATCGAAGATACCAATTACAACTACTCTACTTGCGTTGTACACACAGGTTTGCTGAGATGTTTCAACATATTCTCTACGGGGTACAAGATGAAACCCAATTCAGCCTTCAGTGGGAATATATGTTGCAGGTATGCTTTTCAAAGGGCCTCATAAGTGGCTACTAAATATTTATTCATTGAGACACTTACATATACAAGACCAAACATTTTGTCGAATATCAATAAGCATTTTATTGAGTAAAATAAGCATTTTCTACAAGTGTGTTTAGGATGTTAATGAACTATCAAATGATATGAATGTTATTCTAGAAAATGCTGCAAAATTAATTGTCAATTTAAAAAATTATTGCTGAAATCATGCAATTTTTTTTTAAAAAATTCTGTTTTCCGCAGAGAGCAGCCAACTTTTACGAAAAAAATATGTTTCTAGCAGAAATAAGATCTGTTTCCGTGAGCTAGTGGAACCTGTCAGCATTTATATATACTAAGCCAAACATTTTACTACGTACCGGTCAGCATCTTCTGTTTTAACAAGCAACATGAGTATTAAGCAGTAATTGTTGCGAAAATATAGTCAACAGATCAATCACCAATTAAATTTAATCCATCGATCAACACCAATAATCCATTCAATTTAAATCGATCGATCAATACCAATAATCCCTTCAAATTCAATTAATCAAAGTTAACAAATCAGTCGTCACACTTAATTTTTTCCTTGCCCACAACCTCATCCTCACCCTAAACATTTATCATAAACTGCACAATGGAAAAAATAAAACTCAAAATAGGTAACATGAAAGAAGATAAACATTTATCCTAAACTGCACAATGAAAAAAAAAATAAAACTTACCGAAATCGCCTCCATGGACGCGCCCAGTGTCGTCGATTGAAAAACATACAGAGATTTGAAAAAAATGAATTGGAGACGACGCGCGAGGGAAGGGTATCATTGAAGAAGGCGATTTGAAGACGGAATGGAGAACAAACGAGCGTGATGGGGGATTTTCGTTGAAAAAGACAATTTGAAGACGGACTGGAGAACAAGCGAGCGTGGGGGAGGATTTTCTTGAAGAAGAAGATTTAAAGGGGGGAAGATTAACGATTTGAAGACGAAGGTAACTATACCCCCTTAAGTCTTTAGAATAAAAATTACTATATTACACATGCGTAATCTAAACCGTTCATCATAATCTAAATATGATGAATGGTTAGTATTGGATCAGCATGTTGCTCAACACCGGATCCGCCTCCGACATGTATACATGATTATATGTATCCACATGTCTGTAGTTCTAATCTACATGAACGGAATAGATGCAATTTCCGATTCCATAAAAATTCAATAATAATGAATAATAAATACTCCCTCCGTCCCATAAATATAGTCTTAATTGGGTTGGACACGAGATTTAAGGAATATTGATATTATATAGGTAGTTGGTAAAAAGTATGGATAAAAGACTTTTTTGCCCTGGTGAGTGTATTAGTGTAAAAAGTAGTGGCAATTGTGTAATAAAAATGAAAAAGTATGGGTAGGTTTATGGTGATACGATTATTTATGGAAATAAGATTATTATTTTGAGACGGACAAAAATGATAAATAAGACTATTGTATTGAAACGGATGAAGTATGTCTTGATGAATGCATATCTCTTTTTATACATATGACATGTATACATGCTTATATGTATCAACATGTTTGTAGTTCTAGTCCAACCATTTATTGTTCTGATGAAATAATCAAACTGATTCGGATAAAAATTAATATCAATAACCAATAGATTAAATAATTTATACTTTTAGAAGTTATTTCAAAAAATAAATAAATAAATAAATGATAGTAACAATTGCCCACCAAATGTAATTGATTTTACTCAAATCAACGTAGATGCAAATATTAAATATATAAATAAATAAGCACCTAGATATAATTTATTTTATGGGACTAAATCAACAAACCACGTATACAAATTCACATAGATCTAATTTCAATTGTAAAATAGAATCACTTGAACATATGCATTAAATATTAATAGTCACATATGTTTTACAAATGGGCAATTTAATTTCAACTAAACATCAACGCATTTAACAAAATATGTTAATAATTCATGTAAGTCTCTGATACCAATTGTTGAAACTTATAGAAAATTAAACTCTAAATTCAATATCTACCGTGTTAAAATAATTGAGATAAATAATGATAAATTCAAATTGAAATGATGACCAAATGCACTCATGAAAAGAAAAGTCTCATTTTCGAAAATTATACTCCCTCCGTCCCAGATAAATTGTCCGGTTACTGTAGATACAAGAATTTATATAAAATATAATTGGTAACTAATTAAGAAATGTATTAGTAAAAATAATTATAGATTAACATTAAGATAATTAAATAATTTAATTAAGAGTAAAAAATTATAAATTATAAAATTTCAAATGTGATTAAAAATAGAATATTTAAATCATTATTAAAATTATCTCCTTTGTTTTTTCTTTATTCATCCACATCCCGTTAGCTTTTTATTGGAGGCAATAGATTATTATTATTATTACTCCATTCGTCCATATATTTTAGACTTATTATTATAAAGTATAATTAATAGATAATTAAAAATTATATTACTAAAAATAATTATTATTTAATAAAAATAAATATATATTAGATTAAAATAAATAAATAGTTTTAATTAAAATTAAAAAAAATTATAAAATTTAAAATATAATTAAAATGGATAATCATATTTTCTAAAATGACAAGTCATGTGGACGAACCAAAATGTAAAATAAGTACAAATTATTTGAAACTGAAGAAGTATTATAATTATTATTGTTATTTTTTATCGGAAGGGGATAGATTATTTGGCAAGAGAGGATTTGGTCTGATTTTGATAAGGGGCTGATGCTGCATTGACGCTTTTTTCCAGGAACGGGCAGAACAGGGCGTGTCGATTTGAATCTGACCCTTTTCTGTCGTAGGATGGAATTGGTGCATCCGAATCATCGCCCCACCAGAAACTCCATCGATTGATTCATTCATTCTCGAAACAATGAGGAGAAACAGTATCAAGGAGCGAGTCCCTCGTAAATACGCGGATCGATGGCGCGAATTGAGCCTCAAGCAGATACGCGCCAATGGCAATGGCAATGGCAATGGCGCAGGCGGAGGATACGATGCCGACACGGCCATGTTCATGTCGATGGCCCAGGAATTGAAAGAGGAAGGCAACCGCCTGTTCCTGCGTCGAGACTACCAAGGTGCCATAGTTAAGTACGAGAAATCGATCAAATTGCTTCCCAACAACCACGCCGACGTGGCCTATGTCCGGAGCAACATGGCCGAATGTTACATGCAGCTTGGCGGGAATGGGATCGCCATGGCCATCGACCAATGCAACCTCGCCTTGGAGGTCATACCCGCTTACAGCAAGGCCCTCCTCAAGCGGGCCCGTTGCTATGAGGCCTTGGAGAGGCCCGACTTCGCGCTCGCCGATGTCGTCGCGCTGCTCGACTCCGAGCCCAACAATCTCATGGCCGCCGAGATCGAGCAGCGCTTGAGGAAGAAGACGACGACGACACTGCCTCTGGCTATAAATAATTTGGATGAAAAACATGTGAGTGATGATCGAGACAACTGCTCGTTGTCTAGTGCTCATGTGGTTTTGGACAAGACTTGTAATAGTGTTGAAGAAAATAATAGCAACGGGAAATTAAAGAAAGAAGAAGAGGAGGAGGCGAAGAGGACTGTGAAATTAGTGTTTGGAGAAGACATAAGATGGGCGCAAGTTCCGTTGAGCTGCGACATTTTGAAGCTCCGGCAGATCATCGCAGACCGGTATCCCTATTCAAGAGCAATTCTTATTAAGTACACAGATCAAGAAGGAGACATGGTGACCATCACAACAACACAAGAGTTGCGATGGGTTGAGTCCGAATCAAAGTTGGAGTCGTCGTCTAGATCTACAAAGCCACTCAAGCTATATATAGTTGAGGTTGATCCCGACGAGGATCCGCTCTACGATAAACTTAAACGCACAAGAAGCAGTCGAAGGTCAGCTCCATCGGACGATGAGAATGAAGAGGAGGAGGAGGAAGAAGGACACGTGTTAAAAGGCGAACCGACTTGCATCACGGATTGGATCATCCAATTCGCGCAGTTTTTCAAGAGCTACTTAGGCTTGGACATCGATGCCTACATCGATATCCATCAAATAGGGATCAAACTCTACTCGGAAGCCGTGGAAGAGACCGTCACCAGCGACGAGGCTCAGGACCTTCTCGGTGCAGCTGCCGACAAGTTTGTGGAGATGGCGGCGCTAGCCCTTTTAAATTCCGGCAATGCACACATGTCCCGCACGCGGAAAAAAGTCTACGCCCCACAAGATTCCTCGCGACTGGAAAGGATACAGTGCGGCTACGATTGGGCGCAGAGGGAGCTCGCCAAGGCCGGGAAAAGATACGAGCAGGCTATAAAGATAAAAGACGATTTCTACGAGGCAGTGTTGGCGCAGGGGCAGCAGCAGTTCGAGCAGGCGAAGCTGTCGTGGTACTACGCGGTGGCGACGGGAGTGGAGCCGCCGGGAGACGTGCTGCTGCTCTACTGCTACGCCGACGAGAAAATGGAGAGGGGAATGAGGATGTGGGAGAAGGAGCAGCAGCGGCGGATTTCCGAGCTGTGGAAGACGAACAAGATGGAGACATTGTTGCAGAGGATGAAGCTGGACAGCTTGTTCAAGGAAGTGTCCGCGGAGGAGATGGAGGAGCAGGATTCGAGCATACAGTCGCAGATATACGTGCTATGGGGGACCATTTTGTACGAGAGATCAACGGTCGAGTACAAGCTCGAAATGCCGGCGTGGCAGGACTGCTTGGACAACGCCGTCAACAAGTTCGACCTCGCCGGGGCTTCCGAAACCGATATCGCCGTCATGGTCAAGAATCATTGCTCCAACAACACATCTTCGTCGTTCGAAGGTACCTACCTACCTACCTACCTACCTATAACTTAAATTATACTCACTCTGTCATCCAATTGTGTAGCTACCTATAACTTAAATTATACTCACTCAGTCATCCAATTGTGTACCTACCTATAACTTAAATTATACTCACTCTGTCATCCAATTGTGTGCTCATTTGATCGAACACTGATTTTAAGAAAAATAGGTAAAAATTCCATAGGATCCTCTATCCCTAAAATAAATCCTATCCCCTATCCCCACACGCATAATATCTATACATATACACGTGTGTATGTATACTATATACATGCGTGTGCATGTATACACACTGTGTGTGTGGGGATAAGGGGATAGAGTGTGTTAATGGGACAGAAGATCCGTTCTGGTAAAAATAGAAACTTTTACTTTTTTGGCTAAAGAAAATGTAGAAAAAATGGTATTTTGTTATTAAAAAAATAAACGGGAATAAATTTGGATGAAAACCAAAAAAATGAAAAGTGAGAATAGATTTGGACGACGGATGGAGTAGTATTAATTAGTTAATTTGGTTAGCTTGCTTATTTGTTTAGGGTTTGGATTCAACATCGACGAAATAGTGCAGGCGTGGGATGAGATGTACGAAGCCAAAAAGTGGCAGCACAACATTCCCTCCTTCCGTTTGGAACCTGTTCTGCGGAGACGAATTTCGAAACTATACTATGCTCTTGAACGTTTGTGATTACTATAATTTATGATTATTTGTCAAATGAGGAGGCTTCATTATATTGTAAACCTGCATGCATTTATTTGTAATTTTCTCCTTCATTTGTGTTGAAAATCTGAGGCCGTACGTACGTTGTGCTGGATTTCAGTAGTATAATTAATGTAACATACCTTGTGCAGGATTGATTATATACGTTAAGTATGTACATTGTAAATAAATCTTATCGAATCTCAAATTTGTGTGTACGCGCTTGTGTGAGCATGTGTTTTTTTTTTTTCTCCTTAAAGATAATATTGGTGAATAAAAAGATTTTTCATTTGTTTTATCTTAAATGTGTCTAAAAGACAAATAGCACGAATGAAATACTCAATGGAATGTCTGAAATATCTAAAAATTCTCTATTTTATTTCGTTGCAAAGAGTTTTAATTTTATTATTTTACACAATCAATTCTGAAGTTGTATAGCCAACCTTATATGCATAGATGGTAGGAGAGGATAGCGGAAAGTTGAATTATAGTGAGAGAAGTTTTTTCATACTCTCAATTTTGTACTTCTTATTCTCCGTGTTTTAAAGGTGTGTTCAAACTTCTACACTCGCCAAAAGTGTTACCGGAAGAGGGAAAAATCGAATATCTAACCGGAGAACTCCCAATTGTTGTGCTCAAACCAAAAGTTGAATAGACGAACGTGTTTCAGGCATTGGAAATTCGAAAGCCATAAAGCCATCTTCAATGTTGCAGATGAAAGGTGATATCCAACTTTCAGAAAGCAAAAGAATATTGGATTCCTTGGAGAGTACATTTGAAGCATCATCAAAAGTTTGAGAAACAAAGCTGCGACGTGTTGAAACTATGTTTGAGACATCAAGAATGGTTGATGATGGAATTGTTGGTCATTACTATAGCAAATTCAAGAATATCATGAATCAAGTAATCAAGTAGAAGCTCTAGGTATGCACTATATAATTGTGAGCAAAATTCTCATAATTGTCATTAAAAGATTCAAATCCACGGCTAGACTTGAAGAGTTGGACAAATTGAGAACGAAGACTATTGAAAGATTGAATGGCATCTTAGTGACTTATGAGATAAATCATATTGAGGATGAAACCTCAGAAGGTTTGGCTTTTATCTACTAAAGACTTACAACTTGTGAAATCTGATGAAAAAAATATTTTTGCTGAACAAAACAATTTTGAGGATGATCAGTTAAAAAATAGATGCCAAGTTTCATAATTGAAATCAACATGATGCCAATAAAATGTAATACCTCCGGAGTTAAATAGTGATATAAGTTAGAGAGGATGTGATACCTCCGAGGTTGAATAGAGGTTAAATTGATTGAATAGACTACTTATATCAACAATGTGCACATTTTTTTCGGAAGCCCTACTGATAAACTCTAGAGTTAAGCGTACTTTCTCTAGAGTAATTTCAGGATGAGTGACCCTGACATGGTATCAGGTGACCCGAACCCGAATATCGGCGGACCAATCGCGACCCGTACCCGATCAAAGACATTGCTTTGTTTAGAGGTTGTGAGCCGTTGATTTTTAGATTAGATGTATGGCCCATATTAGATTAGGCCTTCTTAGCATATATTCCTTATATTCTACTTGTAAGACATTCATTCCATACATTTTCAGAGAAAGTAACTACCACTTTGAAGAAGTTTCCTTCTTTTCGGAGAGATTCCAACCATCCATTGGAGTGATTCCAATCAACCGAGAGGGTTAATTTTTTAGCCTTCGTAATGCAGCTTACATGAGAGATGGAAGAAGCATTCACAAGCCTCAAACAGTTCGTGTGGATTCATGAAGGTGTTTGCTCAAGAGGAGTATTCATCGATTGATTCCATATTATCCGCCGGTTCGTTTATTCGATTTCGTAGTTGATTCTTCTCTTAAATTGAGATTAGATGTCATGGATTTGATCCTATCCATGTTAGACCCCCTGAGAAATATCCCAAAGTGCGCGTGAGTGTGGACAAAAAAGTGATAAAAAGGATTTTTGTTGACTTGTGAGGCCAGTTTAATCCCGTCACGCCCGGCCAGCGTGGCTTTCGGGCAGGGGTATAACATCCAATTCACAACAAAAGTATAAAAATGTAAATCTTCAAGTTTTATGAAGCCAAAAATAAAGTTTGAAAGTAGTGTCAAGAAGAAATTTAATGTCTCATCAAAGCTTGAAGTTATGTAAGAACCTACATGCTTTTGATATGGCGGACTTCGTCACAATAAATCTGAACATTGCTTATTCAAGAAAAAAAAAGTGCTTATCTAGAAAGAAATGTGTCTGTAGCCCAAACCTGTCATAACTTTGGTGAATCTTCCAAACCATGCTTTTGGGGATTGTTTCACCCTATATAAAGCCTTTCTTAACTTGCAAACAGTTCCAACAACAATATGTCCATTGTAACCAGGGGGCAACTCCATGTATATTTCTTCTTCAACGTCTCCATGTAATAAAACATTCTTCACATCGAACTGTTGTAGGTCCCAATCATGATTTTCTGCTAATGACAATATTACTCTGATCGTATTCATCTTAGCAACTTGAGCGAATGTCTCCAAGTAATCAATTCCATAGGTTTGAGTGAAGCCTTTGGCCACTAACCTTTCTTTGTAACGTTCGATGGTCCCACCAGCACTGTTCTTAACTATATATACCCAGTTGCATCCTACAGGTTTTTTCTCCAGGTGGTAGGGTGACAAGTTCCCAGATCCTATTTTTGTTTAACGTCTCAATTTCTACATTTATGGCGTGTTTTCATTTCCTGTCAGACAATACTTCAGATACAGAGGAAGGTGTGCGTGGAGTTTAGGTTTTTGAGAAAAGTTTTATGGGTAGGTGAGAATTTTTCAATAGTGGGTAAGTGGTTGTTGGGTGCAGGTTCTAGTTCCTTTTCTAAGGGCTATGGGTAGGTCTAGAGTTTGGTCCACATGTGCTTCTATATTTTCATAAACAAACTCGTTAGAATAATTAGAGGTTCATAGGATTTGAATGTGTTACCTCATGCAATGATGATGGATTGGATTCTTGGACACTGCCAGATTCTGAAATGGCCTTTTATCTCCTAGAATATACAAGATTCTTTTCCAAATTTTCCACCATTAGGTGTTGATTCATGTGCAAGTATTTATGTTGGTTCAGGTGTAGGTTGAGGTGTAGGTATTTTTTTTGGTTAAAGTGCAGGTTGAGGTGCAGGTCTTCACTCAATTTTAGGGACAAGAATGCCATTTGTCCCAATTTTAGGTCCAAATGTCATATTTGGAAGCATGAGAGTCTCATCTTCCTTTTTTACATTCTCCCCCCGAAGATAAGGCTGCTTAAAGTAGCTCTCTTGTTCGTTGAAGGTGACATCTCTTGACACATAGAATCTTTTTGACAGGGGGTGAAAGCATTTGTATCCCTTTTGTGTGGTAGAGTACCCTAAGAATACACATTTGATAGCCTTAGGGTCCAATTTTCTCATTTCATTACCATGAACATGCACAAATGATACACACCTAAATATTCTAGGTTGGAATTTATTTTTAGGATCCAAGTGTGGGTAGAATGAGGATAGAACTTCCATTGGGCTTTTTGAGTTTAAGATTTTAGTGGGTAACCTATTGATTAGATAAGTGGCAATAAGAAGGGCTTCCCCCAAAAATCTCTTAGGAATATGGTTTTGAAAAAGTAGAGCTCTCATTTGATCTAATAGGTGCCTACTTTTTCTTTCTGCAACCCCATTTTGTTGGGGTGTATTCACACATGATGACTCATGGATTATTCCTTTCCTTTTGGCAAAAAGAGTTTAGTACAAGGTTAAAGTAGTCTTTGTTATTGTCAGACCTAATTCTTTTGATACCGACCATAAATTGATTTTTAATCATTAAGACAAACTGAACAAACACAGAGCTAACTTCGGATTTTTGTTTTAATAAAAAAACCCAAGTCGCCCGGGTACAAACATCTATGAAGGTTAAAAACCATTTAGCACTTGAGATATTAGGAATATGAGCAGGACCCCATACATCCGTGTGAATAAGAAAAAAAATGGAAATAACTAATCTTGGTGCTAATGGGAAAAGGTACACTATTGTGTTTAGAAAACTCACACACCTCACAATGGAGACTCTCCACATTTAAATTTTAAACAATGAAGGAAAAAACACCCTTATTACTCGAAATGGAGGATGTCCTAGACGGAAATGGTGTAGTTGGGTTTTCTCTTTGTTTGTCATGGTGGATTCAGATATGAAAGAGTGGCTCTTGGTAGGCAGATTAGGATCATCCATGTAGTATAGGCCATTCCGTTCTCTAGCATGTCCAATCGTCCTCTCCGAGTTCTTGTCCTGCAGTATACAAGAGTTGTCGTAAAAAACAGCATTACGTGAGAGGTCTTTTGTGAGTTTTTGTATAGAAATCAGATTGGTAGAAAGTTTAGGGACATGAAGGACATTGTTTAATGTCATGGGTGGGCTTATCTGGACCTCTCCTTGTCCTACTGCAGTTATAAAGGTTCCATCTGTTGTAATTTTCTTGTTCATAGGACATGAGGAATATGTGGATAAGTATTTGGGTAAAGGGGTCATATGGTCAGTGGCTCTAGACTCTAATATCCAGTAATGTGTAAATGGTGTATATGAAAAACTAAGCCCAAAAGAAAGTGGAAACTTACCGGAATATGTTAAGAAGCATGTACCTGTGGACTTCTCCAATTTACTGAGGATGTATCTTACCTGTTCTATCTCTTCATGATTCAGCTGGACAGAATCTTCACTTTATCCATTAGCAATGTGTGTCTGCCCTTGCCTTTTTTTTAGGGAGGGCCTCCTTTCAGCCCCTATTCTCGGCTTGGGGGTTTTCCATGTAATTTCCAACACTTCTCCCTTATGTGGCGCGGCTTGTTATAGTGGGTACACCAAACCTCCTCATGTTTTTTCTCCATATTGGGAAGCCAACTTTCCATCTGGTTAGCAACCATGATTGTTCCTTATGCTTATATCATTGCAGAGCTTTCTGCGGTT